ATCCACTTAGTATTTGGGGCTGGGACCAGCCCCTTAGACCTCTCCACTGATTCCCTACTCCGCGCCGGCATGTTGTCTTCACACCTTGGAGCACTAGGTTGAAGTTTGGTCCCTCTTTTCCTGTGGAGATATAAACAATACCCTCCCCTTGGGTGGGTTAGCACCCTGGGGGCACTCTATTTTAAGAGGGGTGAGCAGAATAAGTTTATTGGAGATATATTTCACAAGGAAAAAGAGAACATCATAGGTGGATGTGCAGTAACAAAAGAGACAAGACTTAGGTGTGGCTACTAATTTCTGGTACTATGGCAGTGTGGATGTAGGTATTTATGTGCACTCAAGAGTGGGGAAGTCCTTGTTTGGGTAAGTGGCCAGAGTGGAGCGTGGGGCTCCACCAGAAGAGGCCACTGGAAGTGAAAGTTGGAGGGTATTTTAAAAAATACGATGAAAAAGAAGAAAAAAAATAGGGTGAGACCATTATAATAGAACAAGAAAATAAAGTAAAAAATACTGTATGGGGATGGGTGCGTTTTCTGTTCTTTGGTAGTGTCCCTTTGTGTGTGCTGTAGGGCAGGTGGTGGTGGGGAGGGCACTGACCAACTCAGGAAAGAAGGGTGAAGGGGAAAAAACTAAATATACTTTAAGCAACTTAGGTACTGATTATGTTTGCACCAAGCTGCACACACAATTAGCTGTCTCCTGGAGAGCATTGAGGTAAGAGGCTTGGCTGGTTGGGTTGCTTCAGGGGCTGAGAAAAATTGGCTGTGCCGTCAACCAGTTGTACTTGGGAGTCTGTCAGCAGGCATTGTTGCTCTTCCACTTTAAGAAACTTGGATCTACTTAACTTTAAGTTGACATTCCCCTTGCCAGGAAGTGCATGATATCCCTCCTAGTGGAACTTCTCTGGTGGTTTGTGAGGAGATCAACCCGTGCTTGTTATCTGGCAGCCGTATTTTCTTAGCCCCTTTCTGATACTTTTCAAACCTTGAAGTGAAACTCCCTTGAGTCAGCCTTTAGCTAAATAACATATTGGCTAAGAAAGTATTGAATATAATAAATAAATAAAATTAAAAAATTTTAAACAAACAAAAAAAGAAAGTACTGAATATCACCCTTAAGTACTATGTTCTTCGTACTATGTTCTTCTTTTTTTAATTCCTGAATAAACCAAATAGTAAGCAATTACTTTAAAATGAAGATGAGAAGGTAAAGGGGCCAAGAAAGTATATTAATGGAAATGGAACAATTAGAATGCAAATAATTAGAATGTTCATGCATAGTGATGAATGTAACCAACTTCACTGAACAATTTGTGGAGAGAATGGGAACCTAAATAGCTATGTAAATCTGTATAAAAAACAGTTACCTATATTTATCTAAAAGTAACTCTAAATTTAACCTTAGTCCAACCAAGCCTTAGAACTACACCTAACACTAATCCTCCAAGCTATAATGGGATACCTAACTCAAACCATAACTGCAAACCTAAGCCCAGCCAAATCATAAACCTAATCCTAGCAGTAGTTCCACACCAACATGTTACTGTATTTTTCGCACTATCTGTGACCTTAAGTTAGATGTAGAAGGGGAAAGAACCATGTAGGCACTTTTGTGCTGTTGTGGAAAGTTGCTTAAAGTATATTTAGATTTTTGTTTTTTGTTTTTAGTATATTTAGTTTTAAAAAGAGTTGCACACAGGTATATATGGTATGATCTCATTATTACAGTTCATATACAAAAGATAAATGTAGCTGTGACATTCATTCCTATAGACATGCCAGGTCCTGCTGCCAGCAATGCATTGTCTTGGGGTACTAGCAAGTTCTTCTCATGTGGATTGTAAGGGGCCAGAGATAAGCCCCACTCAGTATTCACAGGCACACAGCAGCAGAGAATGAAGCCAAAGTTGTGTTTAACCATAGATATTTCCCCAAGGAATAATGTGGGTTCCCCTGGAGAGGTAAGAAGGACACCTTAAGCACATATAGGATACACTTTGCTTCCAGAGCAAAGCAGGTGCCCTGTAGAGGTGTGAGGATGCCTAAGGGGGTGCTTTTTGTTTTTATTTTTTAATCGTTTTATTAGGGGCTCATACAACTCAGCACAATCCATATATACATCAATTGTGTAAAGCACATTTGTACATTCATTGGCCTCATCATTTTCAAAACATTTGCTCTCCACTTAAGCCCCTGGCATCAGCTCCTCTTTTTTTCCCCTCCCTCCCCACTCCCCTCTCCCTCATGAGCCCTTGATAATTTATAAATTATTATTTGTCATATCTTGCCCTGTCCGACGTCTCCCTTCACCCACTTTTCTGTTGTCCATCCCCCAGGGAGGAGGTCACATGTAAATCCTTGTCATCAGTTCCCCCTTTCCAACCCACTCTCCCTCTACGCTTCCAGTATCGCCATTCGCACCACTGGTCCTGAAGGGATCATCCGCCCTGGATTCCCTGTGTTTCCCGTTCCTATCTGTACCAGTGTACATCCTCTGGTCTAGCTAGACTTGCAAGGTAAAATTGGGAACATGTTAGTGAGGGGCAGAGGAAGCATTTAGGAACTAGAGGAAAGTTGTATTTTTCATTGTTGCTGCATTGCACCCTGTCTGGCTCGTCTCCTCCTGCTTTTTGTTTTTAAAATAAGCATATTCCAAGTGGGGGTTGCAGGTCCACAGACGGCCCAGCAACTTTATAATTATTGCTAAGTTGGTCCTTGGGTCTCCTGTATATATCTTTCTAATTTATCGTAGGCTACATACAGTTCAGTCTCAGCATGTTTTTTTTTTTTATCTTCTGTCAGGCTATAAATCTGTTGTGGCAGTGTCAACTTTTCCCAGGCCGTAACTCTGGGTAAGATGTCTTATGATGCCCACACAGCCTGAGCTCCAGGGCCAGACATTTACTAGGCTTGTTATTTTAAGGTCCATTGTCCATTCTCTCAGCAGGTAGAGTGTTCATTCCGTTAACACAGAGAAGCCCCTGCCTGTCCTTTCTGTCAGGAACCTTATTATAAAAAGGGAAAGAAATAGAAAGTTACTAACAGTGGTTGGTATATTTTTATAAGAAATTTGGTAGACGGAAGTGTTAACTTTTTATGTGTGTCAATTTTTAAATTAACATGTATTTTAAATAAATTTAAGAAACTGCATAAAAATTAAATTTTCCCCCCGTTTCAAATATTAATAAAAGAACTGGCTTGCTTTTTAGGGTGAAAGAGTGGTCAAAAATAAAAATGCAACTCAATCAGTAGCTGATAATGATGCTAACAGTTCAACTTCATATACAAGAGGTAAGAATGGCTACAGAACATTGTCTTTAAGAATTGTTTTCTGGGTTAATTTTGGAATCCATTGCAAAGAAAATATTTTTACTCTACAGTCTTCAGTAAGGTAGCTAGTGGGTTGTTGATAAATTGAAATGGAATTTAGAATCGTAAAGTAAGCATATTGCGCTTAAAGAGTATTTGTTATGTGTCCTCACAGCAACTCTATTTGACATAGACTTTTCCAGGCTGTAATCTTCATGAGAGCTGATTGCCAGGTCTTGTATCTCACAGAGCAGCTGAGTGCTTCACCAGTATGTTACCAGTGCTCCTTTTAAAGGAATGTGAAATGAGGGGTAAAAAGTATACACGAAATTTTTATGCAGGTGCATGAGAACATTTGTGGACTCAGAAATCATTGTTTTAGTATTAGACCAGTGAATTTCAAGCCTAAACACTTACTCTTAAAAATGAGGGTCTTAAAAAAAAAAAATGAGGGTCTTCATTGATACATCTCTCTATATTTACCATATTAGAAGTTAAAACTGAGACATATAAAATATGTTTAAAATATATCAATTATGTATTTTTAAAATAGTGAAAATTAGGCCCAATATATTATAATATAAATAACCTATTTTTATGGGGAAAAATACTTTTCCAAAACCAAAAACAAATGACACTGAGGAGAGCAGCACTGTTTTACATTTTGCAGCTCTCTTTAGCATCTGGTTCAGTGGATCTGCTTCCCTGTCACATGTCTCGCAGCCTCAAGAATACCCCTGCACACTGAGGAGAAAGATGAGAGGGGAAAGGCAAGTCATGTGTTAGGATTACTGTGAAAATAGTACTGACATGAAACGTATAATAGCTTGTAAAAAGAAAATTTCATACATGATTTCCTATAGGTCATTTTTATTTTGCATTCTTATGTTTTATGTTTGGTTTTTATGTGGTTCATACAAATCTTCACTGTAGAGGCTGCAAGCTCTGCTCTGGTTGGAGGCTTGGTCTTGGTATTGGTTCCATGCCTTGTGTTATTGCCACGAGCAGTCAGCTGTTGTTCAGCTTCTGGAGGTCATGTGCTGATTGTGTGATGGGAAACTCTTTGTCTGCACAAAGAGTTTCTTGGTAACCAAGAAGTTGTTTTGTAATTAAAACTGTGTTCTAAACAGAAATAAATTACCAGTTATTGTGATAGTGATTTTTTACTTTTGATTTTAAAAGTACATATCAAGATGAGTAGGTTAAAATTTCATCTTTAGCTCCTTCTTTGTATTTGTCACATGAGCGTAATTGTGGATTGTTGTTTTATAACGGAAACAATTGTCTACTCACCCCACCTCATATTAAAAGACCAGTTTTTATGAAAATCCGTCTTACAAGGTAAAGGGAAAAATTCAACATGCATACTCCAAGAAGGAAAACATGATAAATACTATATGAGGAAGTACTGTAAAAAAGTTTATGGAAAAAGGAAATTAAATGATAGTGGAAGTTTTCTAAGACCTTTTTGAAGCTTCCTTGTAGTTTTCAAAGGTATATATTGAACAGGAGCTCAAATTTAATTATGCTCTGAGTAATCCGTTTTTGAGAAACTAAGCAATTTTTGTATTACTGTTGAGATTGTTATTTTGTTATCTTTGAGCAGAGTTATCTTGGACACCAATGGGTTATGTTGTACGGCAGACATTGTCTACAGAACTGTCACCAGCCACTAAAAATGCTACTTCCATGAAAAGCCTAAAGACAGTTGCTTCAGCAGCAGATCCTAAAATGGTTAGTATAGCATGTTCTGAAGTTTTATCTTCTGATCTTTCCGACAATAAAGAGAAACATAGTGTTCAACTTATTAAAAAGGTATGCATCACCTTTTGATTATATTGATTTTTTGTATCTTTATATATTTCATTTTTTTGCCCAGCTCCAAGCACTAGGAGTTTGTTGTAGTGGTAAAAATAATAGATTATCAGTCAAGGGGAAAGAAAAAAAATGATTGCTTTTGTACATGCAGCGCATAGTTGAGATGAGAGAATATGAATTTTCCCCTTATGGTCTTAAAATATCAGTGAATCATTTAGAATTCTTTAAAGCAGAGATGTTGGCATAAGTTCATTCTCTGGTATATACATTTGCTACATCTTTTATCAGTTGGGTACTGGGAGCAAATTACCATATATACTCGAGTATAAGCCGACCCGACTATCAGTTGAGGCACCTAATTTTACCACAAAAACTGCATTAAAAATGTGCTGGAAAACTCGGCTTATACTCGAATATATATGGTACGTGAGTTATTCATGTTTGATCATGTACTGTAGGTTACTTATTCTTATTTAATTGCAATTTATTAACTATAAGATATAATTTCAGAATTTTCTCCCTTCAATTAAAATAATTGCCATTTTAGTTAGTCCCTTGTTTGTCCAAGAGACTTTTTTATTGTGTTTAGACTCTGATTTTAATTTTTATATACTATTTTAGGATGAAATACATTCCTATTGTTTACTGCAGTATGTTCCTATCTTTTTGAGTATAAGGTTACTTTTTTTTTAAATCATTTTATTGGGGGCTCTTGCAACTCCTATCACAGTCCATCCATCCATCCATGTGTCAAGCACATTTGTACATTCATTGGCCTCATCATTCTCAAAACATTTGCTTTCTACTTGAGCCCTTGGTATCAGCTCCTCATTTTCCCCCTCCCTCCCTCTCCCCTCTCCCTCATGAACCCTTGATAATTTACAAATTATTATTTTTTTGTCATATCTTACACTGTCCGACATCTCCCTTCACCCACATTTCTGTTGTCCATCCCCCAGGGAGGAGGTTATATGTAGATCCTTGTAATCGGTTACCCCTTTCTACCCCACCTTCCTTCCACCCTCCTGGTATCACCACTTTCAGCACTGGTCCTGAAGGAATCATCTGTCCTGGATTTCCTGTGTTTCCAGTTCCTATCAATACTAGTGTACATCCTCTGGTCTAGCCAGATTTGTAAGGTAGAATTGGGATCATGATAGTGGGGGAGGGGGGAGGGAGCATTTAGGAACTAGAGGAAAGTTGTATGTTTCATCGTTGCTACACAGCACCCTGACTGGCTTGTCTCTTCCCCGCAACCCTTCTGTAAGGGGATGTCCAGCTGCCTACAGATGGGCTTTGGGTCCCCACTCCACACTCCCCTACATTCACAATGATAAGATTTTTTGTTCTTTGATGCCTGATACCTGATCCCATCGGCACCTCATCATCACAAAGGTTGGTGTGTTTCTTCCATGTGGGCTTTGTTGCTTCTGAGCTAGATGGCCACTTGTTGACCTTCAAGGCTTTATGACCCTAGAAGCTATATCTTTTGATTGCCGGGTACCATTAGCTTTCTGCACCACATTTGCTTATGCACCTGCTTTGTCTTTAGTGATTGTGTCGGCAGGGTGAGCATCATGGAATGCCAGTTTAATAGAGCAAAGTATTCTTGCATTGAGGGAGTACTTGAGTGGAGGCCCAATGTCCATCTGCTACCTTAATACTAAACCTATAAATATGTGCACATAGATCTATTTCCTCATTCTCATGTATAAATATATTTACATTTGTACATGCTTAAGGTTACTTTTTGAATTCTAAAAATGGCATAGCTCATCCTACATGAACTAAGTCATTATCCCGGACAGTTTTCCTTAAATGGATGTAGCATCCTAGCACTCAACAGATTTTGTTTTCTCAGAGTCCTTTTTTCCCTAATTATTGAAAAAAAATCATGTATGAGAAATGCTTAGTTTAGAAATCTCATAAAGTAAAGATGACTAATGAAGAAAATAACTAATGATCTCCAGTCATTTTATTACTGAGATAGATTAACATTTTACAAGACTGGGTTGATAGTGTTCATAAGGGTTATTTTTCCCTGTAAAACATCCTTTATTATTTTTAAATTATAGAAATGATAAATGCAATACTATAAGTATACAGTTTTAGAAAAAGTAATTTCTTCCACTCCCAAATCTATAAGGTTTCAAAGCAAATTAGGTATTGTAACTATTTTAACAGTTCCCCCCTCCCCACCGCACCCTCTTCAGAATCATTCTTCTGAATGCTGACTCTTTATAAATAGAAAATGAGAAACTCAACCTGGATAAAACGGCCATATAGTTTTACATATTGATAATCATATTTTTTATAATCATTATTTTTATCTAGGACATAGAATTCAAGAGTTCTAGTGAATATCGTAAGAAAATATTTTTGTTTTGTTTTTGTTGTAGTCCAAAGATTTACAAAGTGACAACCTTGAACAAAATGAAGTTTCAAGAAAGAGTAAGAAAAAGAAAGAAAAATCTAAATCAAAATATGAAGTTCTAACAGTTCAGGAGCCACCAAGGATTGAAGTACATTTACATTCTTATTCACCTTTCGTGATGTAAAATTGTCTTTTGTAGTAGAAGCTTGGGTTTCTGTGGTTTCTTTCATAAGTAAAAATCTCTGGCATTTTCTGTAATAATAATTTTCTTATTAAAAAAAGAGCACTAACCCGTTTTCTTACTTCTTCATCCTTACTCTCCAAATCAGTACCTGTCTCAAAGCAGATCTTCCATGAAGATTTGAAGAAACGAATTAATAAAACCGTTCAGTCTAGAGACAAACTAATATTAGAGTTAATAGTATAGTATGTTTACACCTTTTAATCTTTACCTACTTATTCCAGGTTTAGAATATTGACTTGTAGGACTTCATTTTCTATTCAGAAATATTATGATGTGGTTGCAACCCACCACACCCACTGCCTTTAACTTTGGCATGAAAATACAACCTTTCAGTATATTTCGACTCATGGCAACCCTAAGGGACAGTGTAGAGCTGTTCCTCGAGGTCCCCAGCACTGTAGATCTTTATAGCCTCCCCACTCGTCTGCATTCTCCAACGGTGATGTGATTACTGTAGAGAAGTTCAGAATACTTGGGTCATTCATTTGGAGTCCTGTGAGGAGAATTTCATGGGCTTCCAAAAGAGCTCTTTAATCCACGTTCCTCCATTATTCCACGTTGCTTCCTAATATTCGGCCTAAACTCTAATTGAGCTGTCCTGGTGACTGCTACATTTCTTTCCTTGGCCACAGAAGAGTCAAGTAACATGGCTGCTTGGGCAGGGAGATGAGTCTTTCCGAGTTGCTACCAAAGCACTCAGCCTAAAGGATCCCTACAAATCTAGGAAGTCTCCAAGGGTTTTGGAATATCCATTTGGGAATAGTTGGGTTATATGTTTGAGATGTCATGATTTAGACTAGTGAATAATGTATTATAGTTTCTGTTCCATATTTCCCATAGTGACTTCTCTAAGGAAGATGACACAAACTATCATTAAGTAATATACAAAGTTTTTTCTAACAGGCATATTGCCTTTTATTTAAAGTACACATTTAGCATACATTACAGAATAATTAATCTACTGAGTCTAGATTTTATGGTTTCTCCCTTGGAATCAGTATTTGAATATTTTCATGCCAGGGTTAAGGGCCAATTCTCTAGACTCTTCAGTTCGACCAAGATTCTTATTGGCACTGTGTCTATTTCTGGGACATGTTATGTTATGCTGTGGCCTTTAATACTGTCACTTTGACTTTCTAAATGTGAAAGCAGAAGCAATTATGTCAGTGTTTGAACTGTTTTGTATTACTGTTGAGATTTTTTGGTGGCAGTTTATTAACGAAGAATATGAGTAACAGAACGCTTGCATCTGGGCATATTCTGAATGGAGACCTAAAAGTGTGTGGTTTACTTAGGATGCTGATGAGTTCCCCAATTTGGCAGTTGCTGCTGAAAGAAGAAACAGGGGAGAGTCAACAAAATGTCAATCCAGACAGCAACAACAGGTAACTGTTAGATGGAAACTACAATTGCTTTAGGCTTAACTTTTCTTGCTAAACTCTTAAAAATGACACACTTTGTTTTGTACTGAACTGTTGTGTTCCTTCATTGGAGCACTGCATCCATATGTTGAAACAAAATTGCTTTTAAGCTAACATGTCTTGTGTGTTTTGTAATAAGACTACTGGTAACTGCTATTGCTGTGTCAGGAAGGAGGGGGAATACGAACTTTTAAAAATGAAACTCTGTTTTAAATAATACATTGACTCAATTTATTCAGGAAGCCCAACAATTCTTTTTTGAGGTAGTATTAAAAGGCAGAACAAAAGTAAGAGAGCATCAAAACTTCATCAAAATGGAAGCCCAACAGGGACAGGTCGGTTCCCCCTTCCAAACCATCCCCACTGTAGCCTTAAGAATAAAAGTTGTGATTTATACCCAGATGAGAATTTATGCACTTTTGCCCATTTCTTCTCTAGAATTTTCATTGTTGTGCTGCCTTTCAAAGGGGGGACATGTTCACAATTATGAAAAATAAAATTCTAAACCCTTATGAAAATTAACTTACATCCACATGTAATAGTTTGATAACCTTCCATCCCTGCAGAAGGTTTCTTTGCATCCTGGTGCTGTTGCCTTCAACACTCTCCCCTTGATTTGAGGTCAGCCAGTAGGGGCTTGGGGCCAGAGAAGAGGAGAACTGCTGGTAGGAGAGGTAGGTGGAGATGCTAAAGCAGAGGAGATGCAGCATGCCTTAGGACATATTAAGGAGACTATCTTACACACCTTCTTAAATAATCTCTAAACACAAGTGACAGTTTTTCTTGTCGCAAATAATGCTTATTTAGAATGTATCCATTTTTGTGCCTAAACTCAATGCTCGCCTGCTTGTTTATGATTTAGGCCTCGGTACATTTTGGTCATAGCATCATACTTTCATGAAGGCTGGCTCATTTAGGGATTTGGAGAGGGGATAATGCTAATGAAATCGTAAACTAACCAATTAGCCTTGCCTAAACTTTTGCAGCTAAAGACTTACAAACAAACATGGGCATTGTTACTCAAACTGTAAATAGATGCAAACATACATGTGGACAGGTTATTCTGAGAGAAAGACGTAAACAGTGATGGTAATAGATCATGTGGGATTGGTTTTTCCCCCCTTAATTTCCAGTAATATTATTTTAAATACTATTTTTATATTTCAATATGAACATTTTCATTTAATCTTTTACTATATATGACTTCGTAAAATGAAAAGCATGGGTTATAAAACCAAAATTTTCATTTATCTTGTATTATATATAACTTCATCATAAATGAAAAGCATGGGTTATAAAACACAGTACTGTAGATAAGCTTTTTGATATTTGAACTTTTAGAAGGATTTTAAAAACAGTGGAAAGAAGAGTGAAATTCCAGTTCAGCTGGATTTGGGCAGAATGCTCACAGCCTTGGAGAAAAAGCAGCACTCCCAGAATGCAAAGCAGTCTTCCAAACCTGTGGTGGTCTCAGGTATGAGAGCAAGTAGCAGAAAATCTTTTCCAGGTCCACTGTCTTTTGAATGTGTTCTTTTATAATAAAGATTCTCTAAGTATGCCGTTAGGAATTAGTACTTTGTAGAAGGTGAGGATTTTCCCTCAGTTATGATGACATGGTACTTCTGAAAGTCTACTTTTTTTAGTGTTCTTTGTTTCAAAAATCTTTACAGTGTAGGTAAGGGAATTAACATTTCATAGAATGTAATTATCTACCTGCCCTAACAACTAACATTTAGTTTGTACCTAGTTCCTCCTGTTAAAGCAGCTTATTTATTTGTAACTGTGCTGCATCTGTGAAAAGAAAGAACCAGATACCCAGCGACACTGTGAAGAAGGTTTCACTCAGCATACTTGCAGGGGCGGAGTTTTGGAGTGGTTTTCTGGTAGTAAGTAAAAAGGGATATATGCGAAGTTTTGTAGCATTAGTCCTAGAAAGGATATTCTTTCAGTTCAGGGGAAGTATGATTTCACAGACAGAAAAACAATAAATTGTGTGGTGAACACTTTCATTCTTAACCTCCTAGTATACAATTTTTAGTGCTGTGTTTTCTCTATTAAATAACTATCTCAGGAGCCAGAAAACTATGGCTCACTAAGGCTTGACTTAAGTATTATGTATGACTACTTTTGGAGTTCCAGGATGGTGCAAACTATTAATGTACTTGACTAATAACTAACGTTAGCTTTTTGCACCCACCCCACATCTTGGGAGTAAAGGCAAAGGTTGGCACTTGAGTTCATTTGGAAGAAAGTCCTGGTGATCGATCTACTGCTGAAAAATCATCCACTGAAAACTGTGCAGAGTGTTACTCTGACTTGCTTGGGGTCACCAGAATCTAAAATTGCCTCAACAACAACCCGCAGTGCTGTTGCTGGGCTATCATGGCAGTGAATAGTTGTGACAGAAACCGTATGGCCTACAATACTGGAAATATTTATTATCTAACCCTTTATAAAAAAAGAAGCTTTGATGGGTTAGCAGGTTGTACATTGGACTGTTAATCACAAGGTCAACAGTTCAGGACTCCCAGCTGCTCCTCGAGATAAAGACAGAAAGCCACAGTTGGTCGTCTTTTGACTTCCTAAAAGATTTATAGTCTTGGAAATCCATAGGGTCACTATGAGTTAGAATTGATTTAATGGCAGTGAGTTGGCATTTTGGCTACGCTGTTCAAGTATGGATCTCTGTGCTTCTTCTATCTGGAGTTTCTTGTGGGCTTCAGGTTTGTGGATTGTTTTTCCTCAAATTCAGGAAATGTGGGACCATTGTATCACTCTGTTCAGCTTTTTGACTGGTTTTGAGGAGATCTTTGTCAACCTCCTTAGTCTGTTGATGAGAAGTGTTTCTCGCCAGAGAATTAAGATTATGACTCTGAAGAGTCACTTGGTTGCATGCCGTCAGACAAGACATCATGAGCTGTGATTGAAGTGAACTGAACGGTAGACTGTTGGAAGAGCTCAGGTGAGATGCTGAACCTGGCAGTGTTGTTAGGAATTGAGGGGAGCTAATCCATGTAAACTGGGTCATTAGAGGAGTTGTTTTTTTTAAAGAGCTGATGAGAAAAGTAGAGCCAGTCACATACTATGTAATAGTCTCCAAAGGTCTAAGCAATTGTGCTTTAGCTATAATAGTTTTAGATAGTAGAGCTATTTTTATACTTAGGTTTTTATAACTTGTACAGGTAAATGTTCTACATTAAGCAGATAATTAGACGGGTAAGATCTAATCAGTTTGTTTACCTGATAGATATAACACCAGTTCAAAAATATATTCCAATATTAATGACAAAGCCAAATTCACTGCCATCGGGTCGATGCCAACTCATCGCGACCCTGTAGGCTATGAGTGGAACGGTCCCTGAGAGTTTCTGAGAATGTAGCTATAAACAGGAGTAGAAAGCCCCGTCTTTCTCCAGAGGAGTAGTTGGTGGTTTCTAACTGCCAACCTTGTAGATTGCAGCCCAAATCTTAACCACTACGCCACCAGGACTCCTACCATTATTAAAGGAGAATGGATAAAATTCATATAGAAAAATATTGGTGAAGTTGGACAATGGACACATAGGGTTTGTTTTGCCATATTTTCTGATGTATGTGTTTGGAAATTTTCCTAGTTAAAAAAAAAAGTATATGCAAATTAGCTATTTCTTTGAAATATATCCGAAAGTGGGAAGTTAACCAGGAGAGGAAAATAAAATTGAAGTATCTGGTAGTAATGGCTCATTGACTATGCAAAGTGAGATGCCACCAGAGTGCCATCATAAACATGATGAGGTTTATACATCTGCAGAATCAACTGGAAATATTACTAGAATCTTATAAGGGCCTAATGGTAGTTAGACAGAAACGATACATATAAAAGTTATTGGCAATCTACTTCTTTAAAGGCATTGCTCAATTGAAAATGGGAATGGAGAGAGATTTAGGCACAACAGCAATAATTCATGTAAAATAGAAATACTTTTATTTTAAAAATCAGATACATTATTGAATTTTACTAGAAACAGGATATTTGATTACGTGAATAGGAGAGTAGTTCTAAAATTATTAGATAATTTCTTGTGGCTCATATCCAAAAGCTAACCAGAGCCATTTAAAATCATTGCCTACTGAAAGCATTTCTGTAGATTTAAGAAGAATGTCAGGATAGGGGCTGAGTTCTAGTGACATAGGAGACCTGTAATGCTGTAAACGGCTATGAAGCCAGGAGGGGAGTACCTGCGTTGCATTGTGCACACTTTGTTTCAGTTGGTGCCGTGCCAGTTCTTTCCAAAGAAGCAACCTCGGGGATGAAGAACCACCACTTACATCAGGTGCAAACCCCTCACAACCCCTTAGACTCCAGTGCCCCGCTGAGGAAGAAAGGGAAGCAACGAGAGGTTCCCAAGGCCAAGAAACCAACGTCTTTGAAGAAGGTGTGTGAAACAAGACATTAAAAGGCTTTTCAAATGTCATGTATTCACATTTCTTTCTTTCAGTGCCTAGGTTTACATTATTTGAATGTTGATCTCTTGAGACAATTCTCTAAAACAATCATTTGCTCCCCCAACGTGATGGGGGATGTAAAACTTTAAAGGGAAAGTTTTTTGTTTATGACGCTCTTGTGACATGGACAGAAAGCCAGAAGAGGGAAAGTTACATTCTCTTCATTCTCACTGTCATCCAGGACTCAAGATGATCTGTCATATGCTCACATTTACTGATTCAGAGCCCCTCTTTGCACCTGTTCTGTTAGGCCTGTGACACGTCCCTTCCTTTAACTGCAATAGTAGTCATCCCCGAGTCTCTGTGCTTGAGGTCTTGAGGTCATTGCTATTCAGAGGGACTGAATAACTTGCCCTTGGTCAGGGGACTGTTGTGCATCAAAATCCGCATGAGAGCCAGTTTTGGATGTCTTGTTATGCACATAGACCACCCTGTCACGGAGCAGGAGTGGATGGGTGGGTCTTTTCCTGCTATTGAAGGTAAGTGATTAACCAGATCTCTTATGAACAGTTGTGTTGCCAATAAGTTGAAGGTGGACTGTTTATTTTGAAGAAGAATATCTTAGGTGATTTGATCATTTTTAAAAGATTATTTTGAAGGAACGGCAGGAGAAAAAGCAGCAGCGTCTCCAAGAAAATATTGCCACTGACATGCAAGATGTAGAAAGCAGTGGTGACGACCAGTCCTTTCAGCAGGATGACCTTTCAGGTATTTGTTCCTCTTTGTTTGCTGCTGCTGCTTTTTTAAAAAAAAACTTTTATTGGGGGCTCATACAACTCTTACCACAATCCATCCATCCATCCATCCATCGTGTCAAGCACATTGTACATTTTTTGCCATCATCCTCAAAACATTTGCTTTCTGCTTGAGCCCCTGGTATCACCTCCTCATTTCCCCCCTCCCTCCCTCTTCCCCCCACCCTCATGACCCTTGATAAGTTATAAGTTATTATTATTTTGTTGTTTGCTTCTTAAAGAAGTGATTCTTAAAGAGTCACTGAATTGGGAGCCATCATGACAGAGATAAAATGGGTGTCTAGGAAACTCTCTGGAATTTTGCCTATACACTGTCCAGCTTTATGATAAAAATGCAGGTTAGGACTGTACTTTAGGGAAATGCAGATATATGCAGACGCCTAGCTTTCTAATAGAAAATATCGTGGGTGACAGAGTAGGGCTTCTGGTACCTCTGATTCTTTGAGTTTGAGTAACAGAGGAGATGAGACTGCCAAGTTTGTTATCAGTGGCACTGAATGTCTTTATAAATTGGAATAACCATGAGAATTAGATGCTTACCCGGAAGTGTATGAGATGTCCTAAACAATTATGTCTGTATGTTTTTGTACAGTAAGCTTTATTGAAAGACATATTTTTAGAAGTGTAGAAGTTGATAGTGTATAGCTTGTGGACTTTTCACAAGGTAGACACAGAACCTAGATCAAGAAATAGAACAGAACCCCAGAAAAACCCTGCTGCCCTTTTGGTCACAGGCCTTCCCACCCGCCCCTGCCAAAGGTTTGGCCCTGGCTGCAGCACTGTGGATGCACTCGAACTCAACCTCAGTGGGGTCATATAGTATATGCTCTTCTATATCTACTACTGTTTCTCCACATGATGTTAGGGGAGTTCGTCCATCTTGTGCCACATTGGTGCAGTTCATTAATTTCATCATCGTGTGAGTTTACCAGGCTGCTGAAAGGCATTCAAGGAGTCTCCATGTTGGGGCTGCTATGGATGTTATTGTGTGTGTTTTGGAGAAGATGAACATTTGGCTCCTGTTGGACATTTGCTGAGGAGCACAATTGATGGGTTGCAGGATAGACTTACCTTCAGCATTAGTAGAATCTACTAAGTAGGTTTTTATCAATTATATCTCCACTGGAAGTCTGTGATGTTACAGTTCCACATCTTTGGTACTTTTTAGCATGTTATCTGACTTTTTAATGCTTTTCCTTCTGGTGAGTGTGGTGGGCATTCTTAACTCCTTCACTCTGAGACCTGTTACCTGCATGTAAGCAATCTGTAGCAATAATGAGATAGGAGACTGAAGCTCTTGCTAAACCATCGCTGATGTATTTGAGCACACCTGTTGAGATGTTTAAGGATCTCTGGTGGTGCAGTAGTTATGTGCTGGGCTGCGATCCACATGGTCAGCAGTTCCAAGGTGTAGAAGTTTTAAAAGTGTAGCTCCTACTAGCAGCTCCGGGAGAGAAAGACTGGGCTTTCTACTCCCGTCAACAACTAGTCTTGGAAGCCCACAGCAGGTCGCTGTGAGTCAGCAGTGGATCGATGGCAATGGGTTTGGTTGAAATTTGCGTTCATTGTAATCTAAGGATTCTTTGAACAAAGGGTGATTTCAAGCACAAAAACACTTAGAACTAAGAACCAGTTTTTTTTTTAAACTTCTTAATAGGAGATTCTTCATGTTAAATTCAAAAGTAAATCTGGGTGTTGGGGTGGTGGTGCAGGGAGAGGCAGCCATACAGACAGGCCAGAAGGCTGACTGTTTAATCTACTAGTTTTCCCATCACATTTTTCATTTATTTTAATTGCCTTCTCTGAAACTACTCACCACCTACGTTTATTATGACATATATGTGCAGTTTTGGGTTACATCCTGGAGACTTGGGGGCACATTGTTGGGACATACCAGTAGGTTCATCTTGGCGGTGCATCTCCTAGATCAGCAGTTCTCAACCTGTGGGTCATGACCCCTTTGGGGGTCGAACGACACTTTCACAGGGGTCGCTTGATTCAAAACAGTAGCAAGATTACAGTTATGAAGTAGCAACAAAATTAATTTTATGGTTGGGGGTCACTACAACATGAGGAACTGTATTAAAGGGTCACGGCATTAGGAAGGGTGAGAACTACTGTCCTAGATGCTATACAATGACTTCTTTGCTTTGTAAAACTTCAGGGGAAGTGGAAGAATCGATCTCCTCCACTCTTGTAGAGAAAAGAAGGTCAGAAGAGCCATTCAGAGCAGAGCCCCAGAGTGACTCAGAAACCTGCCATCTTAGTCTCGACTCAGCCAGCTTTCCGAAGATTCACAGCCGGAGGTTCAGGGAGTGAGTGCACCTTGACTCTCCTGTACCCCTGTCCCTGCTAATGATCTGAGTGGGGAGTTATGTGCTTGTGCTTACCGTATGTATTCGAATGTAAGCCGACCTGAATATCAGCCCAGGCACCTAATTTTACCAAAAAAACTGCATAAAAATGTGCTGAAAAACTCAGCGTATACACGGGTATATACACGGTAATTTAGCAGTTATTTTTTTCTGCTCTTAGGATTTTCAGTATCAAAGTTGTGTAGTTGGGTCACACTTTCTTTTCATCCTAATGGTTTAAAATGGCCAGTACCTTAGTAGAACCCTTGTTCGGAGATAGCCTGATGATTGCATGTGCTTCTGGTAAGTCTCTGATTTGTTGGAATCCAAGTGTGACGGGCATGAGCAGAATCCATATCCGGGTGCCTTTGGTAGCGCCACTTCTCTATTTTCTTAGGGGAAGGATATTTTTAACCCTGTTGGTGGTCTTTACCTTCCACCGTCCCATTTTACTTCAGGGTAGATTCTTCAGCGATTTATGTTCTAGTGAGGAGTGACCAGAGATGTGGCTAGGACCCTCGTCGGGAGAGATTTGGCACCTCATGGTGGGGCCTGGGCCACAGAGATGTTCATCCCTTGTAATTGAGAGATGGAGAGGAAATCTCAGCCTTTTTATAACATCAGATCCATCAGGAACTTCACACTTTTTATTAGTATTACCTGAAAAGGACTTGGTGTTCTCTATTAAGGGTTGGTGGGAACAGTGCTGGGATGGTACAGCCAATGGAAATGCTGATGACGTGTTATGTTTCTGTCAGTTACTGCAGCCAGATGCTTAGTAAAGAAGTTGATGCTTGTGTTATGGATCTTCTAAAAGAACTGGTACGGTTCCAAGACCGTATGTATCAGAAAGATCCAGTCAAGGCTAAGACCAAACGCCGACTTGTATTGGGGCTGAGAGAAGTTCTCAAACACCTGAAGCTCAAAAAGTTAAAATGTGTCATTATTTCTCCCAACTGTGAGAAGATACAATCCAAAGGTAAGCCCAGCCGTTTTGTCCTGTGTAATAGCGGTTCCTGCCCACAGCTTATGCCATAAGCCCATTTGGTCTCCAGTGCCGGGCAAGACCTCTGCCACAGGACCGGGGAGTGTGCTTTAATTGATTAATGGTTTTCCCAAAGCCCCTTTAACCACCAAATAGCTAACCTGTATCAGTTGGGTGGGCGTCTGTCCTTTTAGCTAGGAAGCATTCTGGCAGCAGCAGCAGCAGGAGTGCCTTCTGTAAGCTGAATACTAGGAGCCTTGCTGATTGGCTCTGGTGTTGGAGTTTTAGTTTAGAGCTGGGGAGAGCTCACTGGTCACTTAGATCATAGTTTTTCTCCCTGACTGCCAAGCAATACCTAGATGGAGCATCTGCCAGGTTTAAATTTAATTTTTCAATCTGTGATTAACTAATCCGTCCATTAATTAAAGGTGACAGTTTGTCTAAATACCACTTGATTTGTCCTAGGTTTTCTTTTGCTGTGACAAGCTTGGTCAGGTAGGAGATTGTGTACTCCTCCTTTCTGTCACATCGCCTGTAACTCTTGTTTTTGTTCTTTGAAGGACTTGCTTGTCTATTTTATTTTCTCATTAGGTTAATATAGGAATTGATGGGTGCAGAATGTCACCTCTCATTTGAGCTATGAAAAAAAAAAGAATCCAACCTCTAAATATCCACAGCCAAAGTCTAGGGTACCCACTTTGCCCTAATCCCATTCCTTTCTTTTACAGTGTAAAAGCAAGCTCTACTAATACTGCCTTTTTAATCTAAATCTTAGCACTAAGCCTTAAAGATAATCTTTGCCAGTTGACATTTCACAACTAAGGAGTGAGGTGTTACCTGACTTGTCTAGTGGTTACTTGGGAGCTAGCTCAGGAATAGCTGCTAGACCCCTTTTCTCCAGGCCAGTGGGTTTATCCGTTCCATGTCACAGTTGATCGAAATGGAACAGGGCTTCACTGCTCTGCCTTTGCAGCTGTGTGTTTGGCAGAGCCCTCTCCAGGTCCAGGGCAAGGTGTGCACGTTACAGAGCTACAAAGGATAGCCCAAATCCTTGGGGCATACAGGTCATACATATGCTGCATATGTCATTTTTAATTTTCTAAAGAATTTTTAAATTTCTGCTATTTTTCATTTTTGACAGCTTTAAGAAAAAAACTTGTTTTCTGAAAATCCCTTGTTTATAGCAATTGCTTTACTTCATGGAATGTATTACTCTGAGGATTTTACTGGTGCTAAGTTTTCTTAGCATTTTGTACCAATGAGACTGAGCATCGTTTCATTTAAGAGTTAGGTATTTCTTATGAACTGTTGATTCTTTGCCATGTCTTTTAGCTACAGTTCATTTTTATTTGAGTTTGTACTTTTTTTTTTCTCATAATAAGAAAGCTAGCCCTTTAGGCACTGTAGATAATTTTGTGGTTTTCATTTGTTGTTGAGGGAGGAGAGTGAAAAGGTGCAAGCAGAGATTTTAGGAACTACATAGGACAGTATTAGTTTGTCCTATGGAATCTAAGTTTTATGCCATTCCTAGGCCCTTTCCTACGCCAAGGTTATATTTGTCTAATCCTGTTTTGCTTCCTCGTTTTTCCATGTTTTCATTTTAAAAAAGAAAACCAGAGACCAGCTGCTGTCAGGTTGATTTTGACTCATGGTGACTGCATGGGTGTCTGTGTACTCCACAGGCTTTTTCATGGCTGACTTGTGGGGGGAGTAGACTGCCAGGCCTTCCTTTACAGTCATCTTTTGGTTAACTTGAACTTCCAACCTCCTGGTTAGCAGCAAGTGCTTAACCATTTGGCACCACTCTTTTCATGTTTAGGGAGAGTGCATTTTGGCCTACAATGCCAAGTGTGAATCCACTTAGCATCCTGTGTCTTATGTGGGATAATGCACTTGCTTTTCCCTGAGCTGAAGACCTGTGCAGCAGTCTTGTTTCAAATATATGGGTCACAGTGGACCTTGTGTTATGCCATTCTGTATTGCCTTGCTTACACTGCAATAGCTCTAGGGTTGGGAGTGAGATCTCCCATTCCTGCCTCTGGGGTGGTTCATTTTAAGCCTAATGGGTTGATGAAACTACCAATCCCCCTGTTAGAGTTCCAGTTAACTTATATGCATGGTCCCACCTTACATGAGTGCTGTGTACACGATTAGCAAGCAGTTTAATTCCTTTGATATGGAGCACAAGCACCTCACATTTCCATTGTCCTACCCAGTAATTTGGTGGGCGTTACAAAGATGGTGGTTAGAAGGGCCTTATTAAGTCATTCACAGCAGCATAGTACCGGATACTGATTCCAGATCATGTTGGCCTATTATCATTGTCCTTTGTTAGAATGGTGACTTATGTGGAAGCATTAGGGTACAAGTGGGAATATTGCACCCCTTTTTATGTCAGAGTGGGTCGGTACACATGGGAACTAGAAACCTGTCTGCCTCTTTCTTGAAGTACTGTTTGGGACACATGACGTCACCTCTCTGTGCTTCTGGTTTTTTTATTTGTGATGATTCAAACAGCCTTGTAGGATTTTTGTGAGACTGCACGCAAAACAGATCCTGGGACATAGTACCTCAAAACCACAAACTCATTGCCGTTAAGCCGATTCCAGCTTATTTAGACCATATTGCACAGAATAAAGCTGCCCCACAGGGTTTCCAAGGCTATAGATCCTTACTGAAGTAAACTGCCGCATCTTTCTCCCACATAGTGGCTGTGGATTCTAATTGCCAGCCAAGTGTATAACCCTTGGGTCACCAGTGCTTCAGTATATGGTAGATATTTGGTAAATGTTAGCTAACATTTGGTTTTTCCTATTACGCACAATACTAGCATTTGATTAGGGAGGGGGGGCAGTGATACATCTTATTACTTTAAAGACATCTCTCTTTGGGGAATTGCTTTTCATAAAGCCTGAGAACTGTACTACATGCAGTGACTTGGCTTTTTTTCTGGTGAAATCTGCCCTGGCCACTGAACATGAAATAAAAAAGAGGGTGGACAGTGCTGCTGTCTGTAACCAGTATAAGTACACTATGTATTGTATTTCCTTTGTTGTTTTTTTCTTTTCCTCTGACGCAGGTGGGTTGGATGACACTTTGCATACCATTATTAATTATGCCTGTGAGCAGAACATTCCATTTGTGTTTGCTCTCAACCGCAAAGCTCTGGGACGCAGTCTAAACAAAGCCGTTCCTGTTAGTGTGGTCGGGATATTCAGCTACGATGGAGCCCAGGTGAGGTGGAACAAGGGCTTCTCTGGGAGGAAGTCGAGGAGAGCAGGATAATTCTCTCCTGTGCTCACTGAATAAAACAGTACTTAGAACTTTTACTGGTTTGGCACTGAGCAGAGGTGACCTCATGAAATGATGACCTTTGTGTCAGTAGCAGGGCTGTATTAGAGCATAGCTCTCTTACCTGTTGCCCAAATACGCTGAGCATGGCTCTGGCTCTAGGTTTTGCTGAATTGGGGAGCTGGTGTACTCACAGGTATTCTTGGAACATCACTCATGTGCTCTTTTACCCAAGGACCAGTTCCACAAGATGGTTGAACTGACAATGGTGGCCCGTCAGGAGTACAAGACCATGCTAGAAAGCATATGCCAAGAGCTGGCTGAAGAGCATGGTACTTACATGTCACCCAGCCCACCCACACAGAGCTCAGGGAACTCTTTGGAGGATGCACACCCAAACCCCAGTGAGCAAGAAGAGCCACATTACAGTGAGTGTTTTAGGGTGGTAGTGTGTGTGAGTTGGGGGCTGGGGTGGGGCAGAGTTGAGCACCTTATGGTTCATTATTACATGAGTGGCAAGGGCCAATTTTAACAAGGCCCAGGTGTGGTCTAGGTTTTTGCCTGAAATGACCTCCTTTGTGAGCTTTGTAGGCCTTGTTATTGATTATCTGATAATTTCCTTTCTCAGACTTTCAGTATCATCTCAACATGTGCTCAGGTAGTTCATTCGAGTTTTTCAGTTAGCATCCCCTAAGGTGTGTTTCTAGGATTTATAATACAGGTCCAGTGAAAGTTGGGGGGGTTCGGGGAGGGAACAAGTGCCAGGGTTAGAAGTCGCACTATAATACTCCTCCAAGCTTGTAATGAGCGCATGCACATGCTCCCCACACTGACTCTCCCATTGGGCTCATGTCCGCATGTTCATTGTTGGTGTCTTTTTATTAGTTACGCCATTTTCTTTTTTTCTAGTTGAAATCTGGAGAAAACATTTGGAAGCGTATAATCAGTGTACCCAGGAACTCGAAGAAACATTAGAGGCTTCAACTTCTCAAGTGATGAATTTGAAATTATAAGGAAGGAGCCGTGTGTGTGTGTGTGTGTGTGTGTGTGTGTGTGTGTGTGTCCTCGTGCGTGCACACGTGTCCATATTTTGGGTAAAGGGGTGGGTTAGATAAGACATTGTCTTATTCTCAGTTCTTCATTGATCTACTGTATTGGATTCAACCATTCAATATGCCAACTCCGCAGAGTGAAAGAATGTTTGTAGACATGGCTTGTTGGGTACCATACTGTGATATAGCTTTGGCTTTCTGACCACTGGATTTGCAGAATACTGCCGAAAACATGATATTGAGACTACTTTGGTTGCTAAAGAAACTCCTCTTACTATTACAGAACAATTAAACAAGTTATAAATTCCACCTGTCTGCAGGAGCCCGGTATTGTATTTACTGAGTGCCAGGTGGATTAGGACCATTTTAATTGGCAGGAAGTAGAAGAAAGTGCCATTCCTAATCTTACTTTTTTTCCACCTCCCAGGAAGCTATCACTGCTGTATAGGAAACTAGTGTAAAGTCTTCTTTGAGTGATGCTAACATTAGAGCAAAGAGGGGCATGGTGAATGAAGTGTTTATTTCTCAGGGGATGTATGTTTTCACATTTAAAGATTAAAAATTTGCTAAAATGAGTCACTGAAGGGAAAAAAATGTTTTCTAATCTAACTATTTAGTCTTAATTAAAAATGCATAGCGATGTTTTGACATTTCAGTTTTGATAGTCTTATAAACGTTCTTATTTTAAATGAACACATTCTGAATTCTTTGAGACCAAAGGGAAGACATTTACTTTCATATTTTTCCTATAAGTAAGAAGACTAACTTATTTTTAATAAATAGTGATTACGTTTATGTAAGACCTTTACTTTCTGTTTTATTGGTGTCCTAAGTGTCTGATTTGTCCATTTTGGATAGTCTTGTCACGAGGGGAAGGCTTGTTGTTCCCATACTTCATCTATTTTAGAGTAGACATTACTAACGTCGCTTCTTGAAGGTCTGCCGGTAGACTTAACCTTGTGGGTTTTCCACCAAAGTAAATAGCAGAAAAGGAATGATACTACATTTTTTTAATTTAGCAAGCAGGATAACTTGGGGGCTTTGTTTAATTAAAGTTAGACATGCCAAACATTTTACTACCTCTGAGAAGTGACATATGGTGAGCAAATAAAATGAAAGCGAGTCGACCATGGCATACTGTGAACTGTCCGTTTTAATATTTCCCTTAGCTATTGAGGCTTTACTTTCCATTGATTTCACCCGCATTCGCACGAAGTATTCTGGTTTTATTGTGAAGTTTCGGACATGTGGGAGCTCCCTGAAGTCCTATGAATACTGGTGCTGCACAGAGCATGTGGGAAACGAGGGGTCCCAGATACAAATCCAGGCGTCTTAGTACGGGCACAGTGCTATGCTTTCATTTCCTTGAGAATTGTTGACAGTGTAAGAGATTTAAAAAAATCCATCCTCGTGCACTACACTCTCACCACATATGATACCTGGATGTATTAAATGTTCAACAAACATGCTCTGGTTCAATACAAACTTGCAGAGGATTTGATGAAACAGCACCTTGGAAAAGAACCCAAAGCTCAGGCCAGTTCTGTCAGCTGATAATTGTCGAAGCCAGCCATGGGGGTGAGCCCCAGGGCATCTTGGAACTTTCGATCACATTGTAAGAGGTCCTGTTCATTTTGAATCCTGAAGTGATTAGTTGGAAAATGTGTACTGACCTGCAGAGACACAATTCGGCTTATCCACTGTGAAAGGAGCGGGGTCTGAAATACACCCGTGATCACAGGCTAAGAAGATACCTGTGACTTCCTCAGAATCACAAAACTGTTGTATGATAGACCAAAAATGGTCATTGCCCATGCTCACAAAGAGAAGGATACTGCCTCGGCTTTCAAAAAGGACGGGTCACAACCTTTCTCATCAGACTTGTGTCACTGTGAGACTAGCAGGAGGCCCTTGTCTGAGCCACCTGCTCATGTGGCCAGTCCGAAGGCTGCACACTTGGACGTAAAGCCCAGGACTTAGCAAACACAGAGTACCGAGTTTAATGAGGAATAACAAATAATTAGTAATAATTTTTGCTCCCATGGTGGACCTCATTGTCACTTAGGGTCTAAGGAAAAAAAAAATTTTTTATATGCAAAATCTTTTATTTTTGTGTATCAAAAGTATTTGATACACAAACCATCACCGATTTACTCAGCTGATAATGGTTGAGTCTCACCATCATTATCATTTGGGGTTTTACTGTTTTTTCTTCCCTGGTAGTATCCTTTAGAACAGGGATTTTTCCACTTCTGACCCCATTTTGTCCCAGAAATTTACAACACTGGCAAGTGTTGCTAGGAACACCTTGGATTCATTTTCTGTTTGATTTTGAGTTAGTTTTTTGGTCGTTGTGCATTCAGAAACCTTTATTGTTGCCAAAATGTCACTACCTCCACATTCAGTTATACAACCCACAGTTTAAGAAACCTTGCCTTAGAGTGAAGTGGCTAAATTTGATCGGTGGAAAGGGCAGTTCCTAGATTTCTATCAGTGAAATAATACATTGAATGTTGGTTCGAATAGTAGCCCTTTTCTAAAAAAATGAAATTATGCAGATCCTGTAGGAATGACCTTTAAAACATAATGTCAGATTTAACTTAATGAAAGCATTTTTGTGCCCTCCTGTCCTTTGGCCAGGGAGACCCTTCTGTCATGGTAAGCATTTGATTAAAAACAGAAAACAGTACCAGGGGAGTGACTACCCACTTGAGTCCAGCTCTGGGGTCCTATTTCTACTGCCAGCCTTCTGGCGAGATTGGGGATGCATTCAGAGCAGGTAGAGCTGGAGCAGCCAAGCTGTGGAGCCTCGGTGCAAGCACAGAATCTTCTCCAAGGGTGACTGGGGTGGGTGGTAGGGTCCGCTTTAGATTTTCAGGAGCTGCCTCCTTGTGGTTCAATGGTATCCTTGTCACAACTTTCCTGAAAGAGCAATGTTGTCATTGAGTTAGCAAAGCAGTTGGACCTTTTTCTCCGACTCATACAAATTTTAGACAGTAGTTTTCTGTGCGAGAGGGAAAGGTCGAAATTCAGTGGTTCCCGTGATTCCCTATCCTATTCTCTAAGGTGGACGCTCAGTTTGGTTTGGAATTCCTAAGACAAGCTCTTCCTTCTTGGCTTATGTGTCAGGGAGACTCAGTAGGAAGGGAACCCCCATATAGGCTCCAGTCCCATCTCTCAAATTTAATTTTAAAGAAATGCCCCATTTGCAACAAATGTGCAAATGTGCTTGACGCGATGGATGGATGGATTGTGATAAGAGTTGTACGAGCCCCCAATAAAATGATTTTATTTTATT